TACAATTTGACAATGCCTATTAAGATAATACCAATTATTATGAGTGACTACCTTGATTTATGTGTGTTAGGGAAAATACCATTAGTTGATATTTTAAATCTAGTGAACTTTACCATAATACATTTTCTAAAATGACAGTTTGTTATAACAGAAAACTTCAGTTAGTCAGTAGTCAAAACACACACACTCATGCATGTGCACAGTGAGCTAGATAGATTCAAAGACTTGATGCCTGGTACTCAGATAATAGTGTACTCTTTTGGAATTGTCTGTATTTCAGGAAACATTTATTTTTAAAGCAGTGTGTCAATGAATGTCTTTTCAAACCAATAGTATTTCTCAAATTTTTTTTACTGTATTGATTAAAATGGGATGGAATTAACACACAGGCGCATTATATCATTTAATAGTTGAATTATAACAAAAAGCTTCATGTTTTTTAAAAATAATTTTACCATATATATTTGCTCTTTGAGGCTTTCATTCTCCACTTGACTTCCTGTAGTCTCATTGCAGTCTTAATTGGGTGCTTGTAGCAGTTGCCAATGATTGATTTAGCCACTGAGAAGAAGAGTGGGGGGAGATGGTGGTATTTTTTATGTCTCTACTTCTGGTGGTAGTTTTTGTGGTTATCATAAATCTTAGAAATTAAGTTGCAATGTTTGCTTTTAAGGCTGTTTGATTTCTTTTTTCTTTCCTTTTCACTTGTTTGCTTTAGGTCCTTTGTTTGAAGACAGTCCTCCCTGCTGCCCAAGATTTCATTTCATGCCACGTTTTGTAAGATTTCTTCCAGGTAAATCTTTTGGCTTGTCAGTGACCTGGTGAGATAATGTGTCTGAAAATAAGCCTGCCATTCTCCTTTCAATCTTTAGGGACAACTTTCCCACCTCAGTCACTGTTAATCCTCTACTTCTCAGGTTGGGCATGGAAATGTAAACTTATACATACTGATTTATGTCCCTGCCTGATTTATGGTAGCTCCAAATAGGATGAGCAATGGAAGAATTGTTATAAGTTTTGAAAATCTATGTGATAAAATACCATGCAAGTGTTAAAATTAACATGGAATAATGCATGTGGCGTAAAAAATGCATATGGCTAATTGGAAAACAATTAGTGTAAAATTTTATATACAGTATGATTAGAACTATCCAAAAAAATTACTGTAATAATAGTTGTATTAAGGTAGTAGGATTATTGTGATTTTTTTCCTATTTTATTTTAATTCATTTTACAGTGAAAAAAATGTAATAGTTTATTCTCCCACAACATTAAAAT